TTTTTTTTTATAGAGGCAAGGTCTCCCTATGTTGCCTAGGATGGTCTTGAACTCCTGAGCATAAGTAATCCTTCTGCCTCAGCCTCTCAAACTGCTAGCCACTATGCCTAGCCTGACTTTTCTAATGAGTTATTGGATCTTGAAATGTTCAATTTAGCAGAAAATCTTTTATTGTCACCTGGGACTATCTCCTGTATCTTCCTTCTTTGAATTTTCCAAGAACCTAACGTGTTTTCTAAGTCCAAGGAAGGAAATCTTTCTTTACAAGTCAGAATGGGGAAAAAGGCCATTCTAATTATTCTGTTGTTTCCATGGATTCACTTGCTGTATTGTTGCCATTGTAATTGGTCCTGCAACCTGATAATGATTGACCTTTGCCACAAGGATGCATTCACTGATTCAGACCCTTCAGTTTTCATGGTGATTCATACATACAGTTCAAAGCTATGGTGTTTATTAGTTTATGTACTTATGCTCAGCCATTGTTCCCAGCACCCTGCTGTGGGAGCCAGGCCTTCTAGCTTTACCCACACAAATGGCAAACTGATGCTTCCTCTATGCTAAAAACATTATTTGGAGCCCACATCTTATCTAGACTTAACCTAGGCCTTCATGGTAAGTTATCCTTTGAGACCCCTGTTGGTCTTTTCTCTAACAAGTATTAGTTGAGATTGTTCCCACCAGTCAGAGATGTTCAGATAATGTTGCAGGAAGAGATTAGAGTTCCCTTTCCCTTTTGCTGTCAGATTTGTATGTTGAGACTTTTTTATATCCTGTGCAGCAGCTTTGGTTAGATAGCAGAAGGTTCCATGTTACCTGTCCACAGAGCAGTGGGAGCCAACTTGCAGTTGGCCCCGCAGATAATCCATTTGTACAAGAATAAAAATCTCCGAGGCTACCTGCATATCTACCTCAAGTTTTAAATATATTTTAAAGTTCTACCTTATAGGAAGCCATTCAGTAAAATTATCTGAATCTCAGGCAGGTGATTTGGATTTAACAGAGCCATCTATGACTCATGAATATCCATGTATAAAACAGGGCTTTGTACTTGCTTCAGCAGCATATACTTTAAAATTGGATCAATACAGAGCAGATAAGCATGAACATGGCTGCTGCCTAAGGATGGCACACAGATTCATAAAGCATTCCATATTGTGCAATGACCCTGGAAGGTCATTTGACTATTTTTTGACCAGCTCCAAGGAAGCAGTGTGAGTCAAACCAAAATTGGAGATACCCGATATTAAAATTGTGATAATCACTATATAACTATTGATGTATGGTGATCGATGAAATGAGAACAGAGCTGAGTAACACATGGGATGTTACATGCAAATATGTTATTAGTACATGTCTTGGAAATGGGAAAATGTCAACTTGCATTTCCTTCATAAACCTGAAAAACAATGAAAGCAGGGTTTTTTCTTGTCTGTTAGTTGGAGCGGACCATGGAGATTCAGCATCCTGGCACAGATGTGCTGGCTCAGAGTTTGAGGAGGTAGAGAAGGAGTGGTGGTTGTCCAAGCCAGGTTTTGACATCTGTTAATTTTCTGCTCTTGGCGTGATTGATGAGCTCAGTAATAGGGGACAGTTATGTTATCTATTTTAATGATAATCATATATTTATATATAAATTTAGTTATGAATTACCTAAAATGCCCTGATTTACAAGCCACAATAAATACAACTAATAAAATTAGCACTTAATAACATTTTATGAAAACTGCAACATTCACATATTAGAACCTATGGAAAAACAAACATCAAGCTTTATTTGGGACTCCAAAATAGTTTCAGCAATAAAGTTCAAGAATAAATTATTCCATTGCTTTACTATTTCTCTGAACATTTAAGCATGTAATCTCATTACATCTTCCTAACAACCTAGTGAAGTAAGGCAGCAAAATCCTTATTTTTTAGAAGAAACCATGGAGCCTAACAGAAGCAACTTGTCTGAACACAAATACCTACTGGTTACAGAGCAAGGACTTGTTCTGAGTGCAGGACACTGTGCACAATTTCCAGCTAACTATAGTTAATTTACTAAGCTGTGCTCCCTCCATTCATGAGTACTTCACTTTTTTTTTCTTTAATTAAAAGGTTAATAAACTTGTAAAGCTTAAAATTTTGAAGTGTATGGGACAGAAATTAAAGTTCTATTATTAGCGCTGATATTGCCTGAAATGGTTTAAGAACTTATGATGTTTGGTAAATATTTTTTATTTTAGTATTAAAATAACAATTTTATTTATTAGTTTTTATACCATAGAATTTGACACCAAATTTTGGAACATAAAAAGAAGACACTTCAATACAAGTAAGACTTCTGATAGTAAATTTCTCATTTATCTTGTTGGTCCTACTCTTGATAAGAAAGATGTAAGATTAAGGTAGTTTTAATGGGAAAAAGACCAGTTTAAAAATATGTGTAAATTGCAAGTATATATATGTGTATATACATATATGTAAATTAATTTTCAAAATTTAACTTCTTTAGTTTGGAATTCAGAGTTATTTAAGAAGGTAGTTGTATCTATAATCTGAAACAGTATTGATTGAAAAAAAATCATTTACTTAATTACAATCCCAAAACTTCTGTATAATATTTTTTGCATAAATAAGAAAAAAGATTGTCAAGTTGGTATGTTTTATGTTTTCTCTATAGTCACATTATAACAAATTGAACTTGTTATACATAGGGATCTTCTGTTTCATTTTTATAATAAATTGTTTGTATTTAGTAAATAGTTGACCCATGAATCATGTGGAGGTCAGGGAATCTAATCTCTGTGCAGTTGAAAATCTGAGTATAACTTTTAATTTTCCCATCTTAGCTACTAATAACCCACCATTGACTGGAAGCCTTCCTGATAACATAAACAGTCTATTAAAACCTATTTTATTTGTGCTGCATTATTATATATTGTGTTCTTAAATGAAGCTGTTAGAAAGAAAATCATCAGAAAAAATATATTTACTTTTCATAAAACATAAGTGGATCCTTACAAAGGTCTTCATCTTCATTATCTTCAGGTTGATTAGGCTGCATATAAGTAAACCCCTGCAGTTCGAACCCTTGCTGTTCAAGGGTGAACTGTATTATGTATTAATTTGTGTCACTAAGAAAGTAACTATCTTTAGAACTGGGAACTCAACAATCCCTTTCTTGTACCATAAGTAAATGGCAATAAGAACTGTAAAATTGAACCAGCGTGCACCCATACAAATTGGAGATTATGTTTTGGAGATACCCACTGAGTGCAGAAGACAGAAAAACAATTCCTTTGTGAGAAGTACAAGTTATGTTACATATTCTTACATAAGCAAAAATGGTTTTATCTGTCATAGTTTACACACACACACACATACACATGTACATGCACATATACACACGTGCTCTTGCACTTACATATGTACACACTAAAAGTCCTGCTGATTCTTAATGACCAAATCCACTATTTGCAGGGAGCAGCAAATAACACATCCTACACTTTGGATGCAGTTCTTTTGACTTTTTGACTTGTTCTGTGATAAACTGCCTTTAATTGCTTAATTGAACTGCCTTAATTGCTTCATTAATTCTTTAATCAACTGCCTTTAATTGCTTATAAAACTAGAACCATGTCTCTAGTTTTATAAGCAATAAAAAGATTAGAAGCAAGTAAAAGGAACTCTATGATCAGTAGTAAACTGTTGTACTTTATTCAGTGGTCATATGTTTTTCTCCAGGTATACAAGTTACTTGAATGATGATTTCTCCAGTTATATGTTTCTTAAATAAATAATTAATTAAGAAATGGGGTCTCTCTATGTTGCCCAGGCTAGAATACAGTGTCTTTTCAGTGGTACAATTACAGCTCACTGTAGCCTTGAACATCTGGGCTTATTCAGTCCTCCTACCTCCTCTTCCTGAGTAGCTGGGACCGTAGTCATGTGTGGTTACATCTAGCTGGATACATAATTATTTATTGATTGATTTATCTGTTTATTTTTGAGACAATGTCTCCCTCTGTTGCCAGTACTTGAGTGTAGTTGTGCAATCTTGGCTCCCTGCAACTTCTGCTTCCTGGACTTAAATGATCCTTTCACCTCAGCCTCCCAAGTAGCTGGGACTACAGGCATACACCACCATGCTTAGCTATTTTTCTTTTTAAGGTATGTATGTATGTGTGTATGTATGTATATATGTATGTATTTTTTAGATGAGGTCTCACTATATTGCTCAGGCTGGTCTGGAACTTCTGAGCTCAAGTAATCCTTCTGCATCAGCCTCCCAAAATACTACGATTTTACAGGTGTGGGCTACTGCATCTGGCCTGCACAACTGTTAGACATTAAGCCCCAATTGAGTTGCAGGAAATTGACTACTCTTTCATTTTTTTTTTTTTTTTTAAGGAACATTAATATTGTAGAACATACTGTCAATCATCAAGATTCTCTTTTATTCTGCTTAAACTAGGATTGCTGCTCATTTCACATTATTTTCTGAAATAATTGTTTTATTTATTCCTTTTATGGCTTTATTCAATTAGATACAGCAATACAAGAATCTCCAAGTCTCAAATATCAAGGAGAAATAATAAAAAAGCAGATTACAGAAAGTTATTCTGTGAAATAACCATCTCATGACAGTCACATATATCAACTTAATAAAAATCTTATATGATGCATTTGTGTCAAGGGTTTCCAAGACCACCCCAAGGCTTGGTGATTCACTAGATGGTCTCACAGGACTCAGAAAATAGTCATACTCAGATCTTTTTAAAATATATATATATATATTTTATTGCGTGTTAGATTTTGGGGTACATGTGAAGAACATGCAAGATTGTTGCAGAGGTACATACATGGCAATGTGGTTTGCTGCCTTCCTTCTCATCACCTATATCTGGCATTTCTCCCTATGTTATCCCTCCCCAACTCCCGACCCCCCACTGTCCCTCCCCTAGTTCCCGCCCCCTGCAGACCCCAGTGTGTGATGCTCTCTTCCCTCTGTCCATGTGTTCTCATTGTTCAACACCCGCCTATGAGTGAGAACATGTGGTGTTTGATTTTCTGTTCTTTTGTCAGTTTGCTGCAGATCTTTAATTTATTACAATGAAAAGGTACAGGGAAAATTAGAGGGGAAAGGTCCATGTGGTCAAGTCTGGAGGAAACTAGGCACAAGTTTCCAGGAGTTCTCTCCTGTGGAGTTCCCAGGATCTGCTTAATTCTCCCAGCCTCAAATTTTGGCAACACATGTGCAGTGATGTCTACCAGTACTAGGATGTCATTAGGGACTCAGTACCCAAGTGTTTTAAATGGAGGTTACTCTCCTTCACATGTACCCAAATTCCAGACTCCCAGAAGGAAAGCATCTGTTTAGAGTAACCACATTGTTTCTATAAACACTTTAGACACAGTGAGCCATTCTTCTCAGGGAATGGTGGGAACCCTCTCAATTTCAATTTCCTAAACACTCACAAAGGGGCCAGCCTTGCACACGACCTTTCTAAGGATGTCAGTCTTTTACCTGCTATATGAAATCTTTTCTGCACAAAAGTTTTAGCCAAAACTTAATTTTTGGTGTTGTTTTAAAATTTCATTTTAACAGCAAATAATATAAGATAAGGTAACTTGGTGCTAGTTTCTGTTGTATGATCCATCCTTAGTTGCAATGCTGGTTACTTTTTTGAGTTTTGGTGACTAACAGGTATTTCTTTATAAGTTACCATAGCAGTATTAGGTGATTACAGTCTGTCCTCCTTATCTCATTAGCCTTTCAGTAAAATTGTTAAATAAGCCTAATAATTTCTGAGTTAAAATTAGAAAAATGGTCTTTTATTACCTGAATAATCTAGTTTTCATATTGCGCTAAATCCATTTAGAATTGTGAAATAAGATAAAATATTTGATCATTTTATCAATATTTTCTTGCCTGAGCATGCAATTAAATTTATTTGTTTTACATATTTTATATACTTCAATTTGAGAAATAATGCCTACATGTTATTACTTTGGTCTTTAATGATCTCCAATTTGGGGGTCACCATGTCTTGCTTAAATATAACAGGTTAAATGAATATCTTTTATTTTTCATTATAGTTTTTGTTCTGGAAATCCTGGGATGCATAGATAATTAGTATCTTTTTTAGATCAATAACTTTATTTCTTAGAGCAGTTTTAGGTTCACAGCAAAATTGAGATGAGGTACAGAGATTTCTAATTATTTTCCATGCCTCCCCACACATGCATGGTCTTTCCCACTATTAGTATTTTCCACCAAAGTGGTACATTTGTTGCAACTGATGAACCTACATTGACACAATCATTCCAAGTTCATAGTTGGCATCAGGCTTCATTCTTAATACTGTACATTCTGTGAACATGGACAAATGTATAATGACATGTATCTATTATTTTAATATTATAGACAGAACAGTTTCACTGCCCTAAAAATTCTCAATACTATGCCTGTTAATCTCTCCCTTTCTTCCTAGCAACTCCAACCACTGATCTTTTCTATCTTCATAGTTTTACTTTTTTCAGAAGAGTCATATAGTTGAAATAACACAGTGGATATATTTTTGACTAGTTAAAAAATTAAAGTTCTATAGTAATTGAATGTGGTTACAATATACTTTGTCCTTTTGGTTTTTCTTTTTATCATAAGATCTGATGACATGTGCTTTACATATTTAGAAAACATGATTTGTGTAGATATTTGCCACATAATGGAAAGGGTTAAGGAAAATGACACCATGCATTACCACACAGCACAAACTGGAACATCTCGGTTTATGGGGTGGGTTCAGATAGACTCTCTGTTCCTTGGAAGGGAACAAGTTCAAGAGGTTGTACTTTATAAAACTGGAATCACAAAGTCTTCCATATATGCTTTCAGTTGGAAACAATACCAGACGGTGAATGCTATAGGTAAATACCCATGCTCCTCACTGATCCTCTTCCTTTAAGGGATGAGTCTAAAAACAGTCTGTATTATGATGACATGACTTACCTATCACTAGATTCTCTGTCATGAGGGATGGCAAGGAAATCACACAATTTTGCTTTATATGAGGTTAAAAAAAGATTTTCTTTTTTCTCCTACTAGAGAGAGGGGAAAGCATTGGCACATTCTGGTAGCAAGAGGGCATTGATAGTTTTCTTTTGATATATTTTTCACATCAGATAGTACTGCCTGGCAGCCTGCCACCCCTCCCCAGTGTTTCTTAAGCTTCTCTCTGAAGGTGAGGTGTGATTCGGAGTGGATAAGCTCTTAAAGGAGTGATCTTTCCAGTGGTTCTTTCTGTGGGAGGTAAAATGGCAGGTGAATTTGGGCCTTGTTATATGTAGAGCTGAGCATATAGCTACAGCTGAGTAAACCACCCAGCACCTTCCCCAGAAGAGTGTTAGAGTAACATACCGATCTCTCTTGAGCTCTTCTCCTCTGGCAGCTGGAAGGTTTTTGCAAGGATCCTTGTTCCTGGTCTGATTCCTATGTTTTGCTGGCTTCTGGTGATAAGTCGTTTTATCCTAACCTGAACAGTTTTAACTGCAGAGCTAGGGAGGCTGTGTTGTGTTCAAAAAAATGAGTGCAGTAGTTTCCCCTTAAATGTAGGAGATACATCTTAAGACTCCCAGTAAATGCCTGAAACCACAAATAGTACTGAATCACATACCATTTTTTCTACACATATATGATAGTATTAATTTATAAATTAAACACAGTAAGAAATTAACAATAACTCATAATAAAATATATTGTTATGGTTCCTACCCTTTTTCCTGTGATGATGTGAAGTGATACAATGCCTGTGAAATGAGATGATGTGAGGTGAATGATGTAGGCATTGTAATGCAGTGTTAGGCCACTATGCACCCCTTGAATCTAAGTCAGAAAATCATGAGCTGTGAGTGACCCTGGATCTTCAGGCCTTAATGATGTTGATGGCTGGCAACAGAAGGAGGCTGTGTTGATGACTAATGGGTGAACAGCATATGCAGTGTGGAGTGATTTACTTAATCAGTGGTGCATATGTAATGAAGCTTTCATAAAGACCCAAAGGGACTGGGCTTAGAGAGCTTCTAGTTCGTTGAATACATGGAGGTTCCTGGAGGATGGTGTGTCCTGGGAGGGCAAGGAATCTTTGTCCCACTTCCCCCACACTTTGCATCTCTTAATCTGTACCTTTTGTAATGTCATTCATAGCAAACTGGTAAATGTGTTTCCCTGAGTACTTTGAGCCATTCCAGCAATTCAATTTAACCCAAAGAAGGAGTCCTGGGAACCTCAATTGAACCCAGTTGGTCAGAAGTTCTGGAGTTTCAGACTTAAATCTGATGTAGGGAGGCAGTCTCATGGGACTGAGCCCTTTACCCGTGGAATCTGATGCTATCTGCAGACAGAGTATGAGAACCGAATTAGATGACACCCAGCTTGTGTCATCTGCAGAAATGATCGCTTGCTTGTTGGTGGGGAAAAACCCTCCACACGTTTGATCATGGAAGCCTTCTTTGTTGATGATTGTTTTTGTGGTGTGAGAGCAAAGAAAAACATGGCAAGTATGTCTTTTCCACATGTCGTGGATAAAGGAACTGCGGTACACTCTGTTTTAACTGCCCTTCATATTTTGGTTCAGAAATCATGCTCTGACACTGGTCACTCATCCCACAATGGTATTGTTCTGATAACAATACCATTTTCAGTAAATCTCATAGGGTTTGTCTAAGATGACTTGTATACTGCAGTTCACTTGTATATATCAAATTTTAATAAATTTATTTCTTGCATTGATAAGTATAAAGGGAAGAAAGAGTTCTTACTGCATTAATTACACACCAATAGGTATAATCTGTATTAATTCTAATAAGGTCCCAGTTATGCTCCCAAATGAATGCTTTGTAACAAAGCATCAGTCCTACACTTTAAAGAAAAATGATCTAAATCATGTACACAACTGTGCATACTTTTTTTTTAATGAAGGTACAGTCTTGCTATGTTTCCTAAACTGGTCTCAAACTTCTGGATTTCTCAAGTGATCCTCCTTCCTCAGCCTCCCAAATAGCTGAAATTACAGGCATGCATCACTGTACTT